TCAGGGGCCTGAGGACTGGTGGCTCCACCCATGCCACCTAGCCACCTGCAACAGGGGTGCAAAATAAGAGGTGCCCCCCAGTCCTTACAGCCAACAGCATTAGGTGCTCATAGTCTGGCTGCAAAATCTACCCATCTATGCGCTCTAGGGACCAGGGACATGCCTTCCTACTGGACACTTGGGAGCGGCTGTCGGCCCCCTGCCTTGCTCAGTGTGTCCCCCTGCTGCAGCCAGATGCCTGTGCCTACACCAATCACCCATGCCTGTCTAGGACTGTGAGAGCCTACACCACACACTTTGTGGCTATCTACCTGGGCACCCCAGCTGAATCCATACAGTAGGAATGAGCAGAGTCCTGAGTTCACATACCTAGTAACAGATCTAACCACCTGGTAGCAGAACATTAGAGCTTCAAAGGTGCCAATAATAAAACTAGCTCATACGAGCAGCCTATTTGGGCATATCAAAACAAAACATGAAGCTACGACACAGTAAGAAAACAAAATAAATAAATATAATAACTTACTTATGGCTTGGAGACAACAGTCAATATCAAATCACATAAAGAGGCAATCCACGATGGCTTCAGCAAGCTCCCAAAACAAAGAATCTAGAAATTTTCCAGAGGAGGAATATTTCTTGGAATTACCGGAGGCAGAATACAAAAGATGAATATACAGAACTCTTCAAGAAATTAGGAAGGAAATTAATCAAAATGCAGAACAATCAATAGAGGAAATTAAAAAGATTAGAGAAGAGCATAATGACAATTTTAACAGGCTGCAAGAATCCACAAAGAGACAGCAATCAGAAATCCAGAAGATTAACAATAAAATTTCAGAATTAGACAACTCAATGGAAAGTCATAGGAGCAGAATTGAGACAAGAGAAGTCAGAATTAGTGATATTGAAGATAAAGCACTTGACACCAACTTAGTTGAGAAAAAATCAGATAAAATGATGGAAAAAAAATGAAGAAACCCTAAGAATTATGTAGGACTGTATCAAGAGGAATAACCTACAAGTGATTGGAGTAACAGAATGAGGGGGATTACAGAATATACAGACAGAATAGTTGAAGACTTGTTGGCAGAAAACTTCCTTGATACCGTGAAAGATGACAAGATATCTATCCAAGATGCTCATTGAACCCCACATAAGGGAGATCCCAAAAGAAAGTCACCAAGACATATTATAAGCAAACTTGCCAAAACCAAAGATAAAGAGAGAATTTTAAGAGTGGCTAAGGATATATGAAAAGTTGTCTATAAAGGTAAGTCAATAAGAATAAGCTCGGAGTACTCAGCAGAAACCATGCAGGCAAGACAGCAATGGGATGACATTTATAAAGCCCTGAAGGAAAAAAACTGCCAGCCAAGAATTATATACCCAGCAAAACCGTCTCTCAAATATGATGATGAAATTATGGCATTTCCAGATAAACAGAAGTTTAGGGAATTTGCAAAAACCAAACCCAAATTACAAGAAATACTAAAGGGAATCCTCTGGTTAGAAAATCAGTAACATCAGATAACAACCCAAGACTAGAACACAGGACAGAGCAACCTCTATCAACCCAGATAGGGAAGTCACAAAAATAAATCAAAGTTAAAACACTGAAAATAGGGAAACAGATGTCAATATGTAAAACATGACACCATTAAAACAAAAAAGAGGGACTTAAAAAATGTAGACATAGATTTTTCATATGGAGAGGTAGTCAAGGCAATATAAAAAAATAAAAGACTGGTATAAACTTATAAAAATAGGGGTAATATTAAGGTAACCACAAAGGAAACTAACAAACCTACAAGTCAAAATAAAAAACTAGAAAAATATAAAGATTCAGCAAGCACAAAATCAACAACAATTAAAAAAGATGAAAAGAAAATACATAAAGAAAAACGACTCAGCACAGAAAATTGAGTGGAACAAAGACACCGTGAACAACACACAAAAAAAGTCAACAGAATGTCAGGACTAAACTCATACCTATCAATAATTATGCTGAATGTAAACGGACTAAATGCACGAATACAGAGACAGAGAGTGGCAGGCGGGATTAAAAAAATACGATCTGCCTATATGCTGCATATAAGAGACATACCTTGGACTTAAAGACACAAACAAACTAAAACTCAAGGATGGAAAAAATATATCAAGCAAACAACATTCAAAAACGAGCAGGAGTGGCAACACTAATCTCTGACAAACTAGATTTTAAAATAAAATCCACCACAAAGGATAAGGAAGGACAATATATAATGATTAAAGGTTCAATACACCAGGAAGACATAACTACAATAAATATTTATGCACCCAATCATAGGGCTCCAAAATACATAAAACAAACTCTAACAGCACTCAAAAGAGACATAGACAGATCCACAACAGTAGTAGGAGACTTCAACACACGACTTTGGGTGAAAGACAGAACATCTGGAAAGAAGCTCAACAAAGACACAGAAGAGCTAAATCCTACAATCAACCAACTTGATCTCGTAGACATATACCAAACACTCCACCCAACATCAGCCAAGTATACTTTTTTTTCCAAAGCAGGTGGAACATTCTCCAGAATAGACCACATATTAGGCCATAAAGCCAGCCATAACAAAATCCAAAGCATCGAAATATTACAAAGCATCTTTTCTGACCATAAAGCCATAAAAGTAGAAATCAACAACAGAAAAAGCAAGGAAAAAACAGATGGAAACTGAACAACACCATGCTCAAAAACTACTGGGTTATACAAGAAATTAAGGATGGAATAAAGAAATTCATAGAATCAAATGAGAATGAAAACACACCCCACCAGAACCTTTGGGACACAGCAAAAGCAGTGCTCAGAGGTCAGTTTACAGCAATAACTGCACATATCCAAAAAGAAAAAAGGGCCACAATCAAAAAATTAGCACTACAACTGGAAAAAGTAGAAAGAGAGAAGCAAAAGAAGCCCTCAGGTGCCAGAAAAAAGGAAATAAATAAAAATGAGAGCAGAATTAAATCAAATAGAGACTAGAAAAACAATTGAAAGAGTTAACAAGACGAAAAGCTGGTTCTTTGAAAACATCAACAAAACTGATAAACCACTGGCCAAACTGACAAAAGAAAAACAGGAGAGGAAGCAGATAACCTGTATAAGAAATGAGATGGGTGATATCACAAAGGACCCAATTGAAATTAAAAGAATCATAACAGAATACTATGAAAAATTGTACTCTAACAAATTT